AAGGTTATAGCCTTTCTTTGCTGTCGTCTCAACAAATTGTTCAGTGCGAAAACAATACGAAATTACTCCTTAACTGTGCACAAATTCTATTGAGTACACAGTGTGCTTTAGTTCTCTGCTGGCAAATTGGTTAAATGCGTGGCTGTCTTAACTGCCGTACAAGCTCTCTAGGCTGTTTGCAAGACTTCATTTGGAAAATCCCCAGCTGATATCCATATTCTTCCCAATGGGGAGCTGTTGCACTGAGGCTGGTGGGATGCACTTACAGAGGTCTTGTCAAGTCTTGGCAGAAGTGCGGGGAAAAGCCTTACAGCTTATCCGAGAACACCCAGCGGGTTGGTTTGCTCTATTAATTTTAAGTACTGTGTTCCCAATGGGGTGCTACGATTTATGACTGTACTGCCAGATAAAGGACACTTCTTCATATGGTACCATTTTAGTCACATACTGGGACTACCAGTGTTATGCATTAGGTCAAAAAAGTGAGCCAATATGCATAGTTTTCAGAGTGACCCTTACTTGCATAGGGCTTGGTGTTCAGGCAAAACAGCAAGCAGAGCACTTGGGAGTGTAATATAATCCATCCATCCTTCTGTGAGTGCTGTTCCAGCTTCTCTGGTGTAAGAACAATTTCAGTGCTCCATTTCCTGTGGTTGAGTGTATGTCTGGTCTCCTGCTGCCTCCTCTCAAGTAATGGTACTTACCAACTACAGGGACTGTTTGAAAACTATTTTTGTAGTGGGAAAGTAGTTATCTTTTTGTGTCTGCCCCATTATCTGGCCAGCTCTTAAGCGTTGCTTGTCTGTTAACTTACATTAGGAACTAACCGAATGTTGATGCACCCATGGATTTTTTTGTCAGTAATAAGAGAAGTGCTGGTATACTGCAGGAATTTTGCAGAGAGCCTGCTCAGTGTTACATAGTCAAAAAACCTCAACCCTTCTGGCAGAGGCCTGTTCGAAACAGTAAAATTTAATAGCATTATTATTCTGACTCCTCTCCCCTAGTGCTCTGGTGCACACGCTATTTTGTTAGTGCTGGGGTTCATTCCCTGGTTTTGAATATTTCCGTTTTTCTTGAAGGATTAAGTTTTTCCTCTTCCATCTCATGTATATCAAAAAAACTTTTTCTGCTTACTCCTGCAGGCATACCAATCATATATGATTGTATCCAAAAGAATCTTTTTTTGGACAAAATTTCCTAATGTTGCTTGTATCAGTGCAGCTCCAGTAATGGGACCAATTTGATTTTTAGATACTTTTTCCCTCCTTCTGGAACAATTCACTGCCTGTTCTTTCCAGTTAACAGGGGACTTTCCGTTTGGATAGCTACTAGATACCTTCAAAAATACTGATTATAATAATAATTTCGTTTCAAAGCCACGGTTACTGTTACAAGGAACTGCACTGTATAAGAATGCAGACAAATAATTCCTTTTCATGTGTTTTTTTGGTACATATTTATGTTTATATGCATACCCCACATTTGTGTTCCGACTAAATTATTTCTAAAATTTTGATGCTAAATTATGTAAAACCAGAATCTAGTGTATTCTCAAAATTAACACTTAACAATTTTAACTCTGTGACTGTCTTCAGTCATATTTATGAATGGAATATTAGGTTTGCCTCTTGTCCTTTTCTGTGTACCTCCATGGAAAGTTTGGTTCTGTCTTCTGTGCAGTCTTCAACTACCTAATAGATAGTTATCAACAAGCAAAGATAAAGAAGAATTATACAAAATGAGCTAAATTTTCCCACTGCTTGACTCTTGAACAAGAAGTCTTCTGTGCCTGTTGATGGGACAACACCTCTTTCAGAAGATAGCACCCAGCATTACTTCTGCTGGATTCTCAGTGTAATCCCAGTTGCTTTGGAGAGAAAACTTCTTACATGTTAACCTTAGGGTAATATGATGCCCTTGCATAGTTGTAAGGATTGATTCCATTTTATTTTTCCTGATATAATGGAAATTACAGTGAAATGAATATAAATTGTGAAATATTTTTGAGCAAGCAAAGTTGTTGCAAGCACTCATAAATCTCAATATTTGGATAAACATGAAAATTTATAGCATGTGCAGAATTTTAAAGCAAATGAAAGGAAGAGATTGCTTTTAAAAATCCAAGTACAAGTAGCAGTGAAGAAGAAAGGGATAATCATAATGCATCATGAAAATTATGCCTTTTTTGTCTGTTGATACTATTTGAAGAGTTTCTGATTGATAAGGGTCCCAGGTCTGTCCCTGAAGTTCCCGTGACAACAGTTTTGTCATACATAAAGGGCAACCTCCATCTGATACAACAATTTGGTTTCTGATTTCTCTGTCCTCCTAATCCCACTGTTGTCCTCAGGGAAGTTGTGACTTATTTAATGTTATCATCACACTAATCAGACACTGAGGTTCCAAATGAATACAGTACTTTTTTTGAATGCAGCCCCCTCCCTGAGAACAGTGTAGATAATGGAAATTGGACAACATTGTGTAAATAAAAAATAAATGCTTCTTGCTAATGCAGCTCAGTAAACCTAGGCTTACTGTTTGCCTGCGCCATTTGTAAATACAGAGCTATGCCAACAAAAAGATCTTTCTTTTTATGAAAGAAATAAAGTTATATGAAATATGACTTGATCTTCATTTTAAATTATTTTTCCTGAGATGATTTTTTAATGTTCGTTTCTTGTTTGTTACAGCTTAGTTGTAAGTGATGATGATGTGTGGAGAGACCAGTTTTACAATGGAAATATTAAGAAAGAAAGAGGTAATGAACACATTTCAAAATAGTATGTTGCAACACTGTAACTTAATTCTACATTGAAAAATAAAATTTAAAATTAGTGTGTCATATATATGTAGTAAAAAGTACTAAATAGGCTTCATTTCATTTATTAAGATATAAAACCTTTCCTAGAAAATCAGACTAAAACATATCTTAGTTAAAGAAATGAAGCCCTGTTATTTTCAGTTGTCATTACAAAAATGATACTGAAAACTGGGGAAAGTTTCCATGGTTCCAGTAGCAATGCTGGAAGGGTGGGAACGCTACCGTGGCTGTCCGATTGGTACATCATCTACACCTGCTCTGAAAAAGAGTAAGATAGCACAGCATGGGGAAAAATCTATTTATGTTGGTTCTTTCTTTGTTGCTAGCATTTCTGCAGTAATTCTAGTATTAATGCATTACTGGAATTTTGTCTGTGTTTGCTGGTATAGCAAATTAAGCTTTATCATTAAAAAGTATGTGTAGTAAAGTAACATTCTACATATTCATCTGTTATCCGCCGAGCATAATTACAAAAATACCAGTTTAACTATGTATATATAAATTCTGCATCCATAGAAACAACACATGACGGCTTTTACTGTGGAACTGTTTTATTTTGCTGATACTCTGTTTACATTGAAACACGTGTCTATATTTAAGGTGCGATAGTACTACGTCTCGCCAAATCATGGTTTCGTATAGGATCCTTAGAAATCTTAGCTCATTCTGGGGAACTGGACTTACAAAGGTTTGAATTCAATCTTCATACTAACTGTATTAGTTTTCTTAAACAAATATATATTAGAATGCATATATACAGTTGGAATTTAGACATGAATTATTTACAAAGGAAGATTGCATAATTTAGAAAGATAACCTGCTATTTTTATACAAGTATACAAAAGAACTTACCTCATTAGGGTCCCCTAGATGTTTCTGCAGGCCTGGATCTGCATGAGAAAGGTTTTATAGCTGAAATAGTTCTGGTAACTAAGCGCTAGGGAGGAGTTGTTTGTTTTGGAAGGATTTGTAAATTTAGGGTATAGGTTCCTACATTTCTCATAATTGTCTGTGAAGCTGAATTAACAGAACTATGAAATGATTCACTAGCAAAAGTATGTTGTATAAAGTATGCTCTCCAGAAAAATGCAGAACCAGAGAACTGATTTTAAGTTTAGGTTTAGGTTTTTTTGATTAAAGTATTTGTGACCCATTGGATTTAAGGAGCATGTAAAGACCACTTGTACACGTGTAGAGTAGATGACTCCTTCCTGCCTGTTTCGGAGGGGACTTCAGAAAGAGTGGCCAAGAGCAGACCAAGGCTAGTGTGACTGTCTGTGCTTCCTCCTCAGAAATGGTGCTCCTGAAAGAGGATGTCTTGGAGCAACCAGCTAAAATTCAGAGGCAATAGTTTAGACACCTTTCTAACGGTCAGGTTGCTAGGTACTCTGATAAAATCCGCAGTTTCAGGGGAGTTCGGCGATTTGCTCCAACAACCCGATTAGAAGGTAAAGCTTAGATATTTGTGTGTGCAGCCGCCCTGCCCTTGCCCAGGTCCAGCCCTCGCCCAGGCTGCCTACCCCACATGTAGCCTCCTGTGCCAGTGGCCCTGGCTGGCTCTGACCACAAGAGTGTCCTACAGGGAGCTCCTAAATTTACCAAATGCCAACCACTCTACTTTAAAGCTTTAGATCTGCAAAGATATGCATTTGATAGGCATTGCAATTTTTAATGCATGTACCCAATTTCCTGAGCCTGTCTTGTAGGACTGTGAAGCACTCTTTTGGGAATGGCCAGTTACTATGGCAAGTAACCTACTTCATAAGAATTCGGCCATAAAATTTTCTTTGTCAGAATTCTAATGTAGAATTCTAATGTAGAATGTAATGTACATTATTCCTTGTAATTCTATACATTTTTTTGGATATGCAAATTTCTTTTTTTTCTTAAAAAATTGATATTACTGTATGCAAAACCAGATCCTGGTGTGCTCTGGAAGTTTAACACACGGGAATAATTTTAAGTCTGCATGGCAGTCTCCAGTAATGTGTATAACTGGAACTTGAAGTTTTATCTCTAAACATTTGGAAGGGCTTAATCCAAGACTCATTGGAATAAATAGATTGAGTTTTCTAATAACTGTTTGCGACAAGCTGTAGATCAGCATTTAGCTGTTTGAAAACAAGAATTTTGAATGATCAGTTCTAAAAGTGCCAGTTTTGTTTAAAGAATTCTGCCTCTCCTATTACAGAAGATTGCTAGACTTTCTCATCCAGGAACATTTTCCATCAATAGCCATGAATGATTCAAATAGGTATCTGGTAAGTCTTTTTTAAGAGTTATTTTTATTTTCCACAAGCATGTAAACAATAATTATACAAAACTTTTCAAAGTTCCAAATTTTAAAAGGTTTTTAAAATTTGAAGTAAGCTTCCCAGTTTTATTAGCAAAAGTTTGTTAATTCGCTTTTGTAAAAACCTGCTTCTTGAAGCTTTTTTTTCTCAAAGTCAAATATGAACATTCTTCACCACTTTTCATGATGGAAATGTTTGTTGGGAAGCTTTCATTTTCTGTTTGTTTTTTTTTTTTTTTTCTGTTACTGCTCAGATTTTAAGTAAGTGGTCGCCATGAAGTGATGAATTACACTTCTTCTAGTATGAATGTAGTATATATAGTACATACTAGTATATACGCTAGCATATATAGTGTCTTTGATTCTTTTTTTGAATTTTTAATGGTTTTTAGGGCATCTGTGTGTACTTGTTTAACTATAGTCTTTTCTGGATAAGGTTATTGTGCCGTCACTTTGTTTAGAATGTGAACGAAAAGTCCTGACAGGCAGCATATACATTTAAAAATAGAATGTATGACATCTTTCTGAAGTGAATCAAATGTTAATGTTATTGTATTCCATATTTTTGATTCAGAGGACTTGAAGTAAAAGATGTATTTGATTTTAGGAATTTTTCTCTACAGTCGTATCAGAGACTGCAAATCTGATTGCATTGTGGATGTCTGTGGGGTTTGCACATGGTAAGCTGCAGTAGATGGCGTTGGCTTTACAGGAGCGACTCTTTATAGTTGTATACTTAAAGATGGCTTTCATTTGTCACTTTGTTCTTCAGTTCTTCTGATATCTTCGCCCACAGCAGTATCTGTTGCACATTAATATACAAGTTTTTTCATAACAGGAGCACTTTCTGATCTTTCAAAGCATAACTGTGTCTGGCAGAAGCAAGAATATAGGAGCAAGAGTTCACAGAATTGTTGTAATAATCTGATGTACAAAGACCATGTATTGATGTCATATAAGTTTAATTGCTCTGAATTTGATGCATCTACATAAAAACCTGGCTTTTTAAAGAGCATAGGATACGGTGCTGACTACCTTTGTTTCAGATTTACATTAAGAAAAACAAAATAGCATTCTCTTGCTAATACAGCACCCAGTCAACTTGCAAGGAAGCAGCTAATGACCAATTTGCAAGATACTATTTCAGTCCTGTGTAGCACTGAAAGTAAAAGGAAACAGTGCCACCTAGGTATAGAAACCAGATGAAAGATAACATAGCAAAGAGTTTCTCATTTTCATACTTAAAATGCAGGCCAGGTCCAGAGTAAGAGACACAAGTTTATTTCCCAGAGTCTGATTTCTGAAAGGTAGCAGCTCCAGATTTCTCTAGATTCAGTGGATCTGTTTCACAGCAAATTTTCTAAAGGCTACAGGATTCAGGTGGAATTTTAACTTTTATATCTCCTTGTTGTTTAATTGTAGGCGTGTGCAATACAGATAACTTCAGTTTATTATCCATAACAATAGATTATGGTCCATTTGGATTTATGGATTCCTATGACCCAAGTGAGTGTAGCACATGTTTTTAAATGCAATTTTTTACTTATAATAAACTCTTTATATTAATTTATGTAGTTTCTGTGTGCATGAAAACTAACATTATTAGCAGAAAAATCCCAAGGATATGTATTGTTTGAAGAGTTTTAGGGAAAAAAAAATTATATCAGAGGCCAGTTGCATGATACACTGTACAGGTTGCATTTCAAGTGCTAAAAGTCTTGTTAATAAAATATTACTATTAAAGCCATTTTCATGAGAATGTTTCCACTTGAACTTCATCAATTGAATAGATGCTACAACAGAAACCTAGAAAACTAAAAATTGCATATTGCTGTAAGCAGCCAAAAGCAAAAATAGTATACAGTAACTCTGCATGCATCATGCTTTAGCTTTATAGATACAGCAGCTAATTATATGCTGGAAGAAATAAATCAAACCTACCCAATCATGGCAACCTTTCTTTAAAAGTATGAACTCAGTCAGTCTGGGATTAATAGATATAGTTCCAGTATGTACATAAATGCATATTATTACATTATTGTTTAGAGGTTGCATTTGAGTAAGTTTCAGAACCAGCTGTGGTTATCTCGCTGTTTTCAGGAGACTGCAACCTCAAATTAAGGAAAACTCATGAGAATAAATTTCATATTGTTTCTATTGTATGGAAAAAACAGGACTTTTCTGGTTTTAGATCTT